CTCACTATTGTAAACCACCCGGTGAATGTACCGAATTTTCATCTGCATCCCAGTATTATCACTCAACTTGAGAGAAGGTCATTTTCGGGAAGGTTGAATGAAGATGCTAATAAGCATTTACAGAGATTTCTGACCATGAGCACCACCTTGAAGATAGATGGTCATACTGAGGAACAAGAGAAATTGAGAATGTTCCCCTTCACCTTGGCTGATGATGCTAAAGAATGGTTCTTTTCTCTTCCGGTTGATAGTATAATAACTTGGGGTGAAATGGAGAGTGCATTTTTAAAGGAATATTTTCCTGCATCTATGTTCATGCGAAAGAGGTATGAAATCCTAAATTTTAAGCAAAAAGAGGGTGGGTCGCTAGGGGACGCTTACAAAAGATTCAAAAGACTCCTGGTGGCTTGTCCTACTCATAATTTAGACCCGACTGAACAGATGCAAATGTTTGTGAATAGGCTGAGGATTAAGACAAAACAGATGATAAACATAGCAGTCGGTGGCTCGTCAAACTTTGCAACAGCCACTGGTGTGAAGAAGATAATTGAAGAAATTGCTGCAAATGAGCATTTAGAGTTATACGACAGAGTTGTCAACAAACCAGAGGGAATAATTGATTTGAAGTTGGAACCTAACAGGAAATTAAAAATTGAAGAAATTGTGGTTGCAGAGGTGAATAAGAAGATGAAAGCATTGAACTTAGGTACTCAACAAGTTGCCCAAGTTCAACAGTCGCAGGCTGCTGAGTGTGAAATTTGTAATGGACCATACAATACTGTGTAATGTGTTGCAACTCCACAACAAATTGAAGATATTAAATTTTTGAAGCAGAACAATCCTTATTCAAACACTAACAATCATGGGTGGAAGAATCATCCTATCGTCTTCTAGAAAGATCAGCAGCAACAAGCTCCTCAAAAGGCAGAGTGGGAAGTGGCTATTGAAAAGATGGAGGCCCACACTTCTCAATTTCAAGAAGAGACAAGGATTAATTATAGTAATTCCATAGCTTCAATAACAAATTTGGAAGTTCAAATGGGACAGATTACACAACAGGTAGCGCTGCAAGCACAAGGAAGTCAGAAAAGTTATGAAAAAGTTGATAGAGAAAAAGAAAATGAGGTGAAGTTTGATGAAAATATCATAGAAGTAGAGCTGGAAGTGAGAGAGAATAGGAATAAACAGGAGGAAGTGGTATCACCTGTGAAGTCAGTTGTAGATAAGACTAAACCAGTGATCAATTTACCATATCCATCTCGAGTAGCAAAGAAGGACAAAAAAGAAAAAGATTTTGAGAAGTTTGTGAAAATTTTCAAAAAGCTAGAGATCCACATACCGTTCTTTGAAGAACTCGAGAAAATTCCATTGTACCAGAAATTCATGAAGGAGGTACTTTCAAAAAAGAGAGCAGTAGAAGATGGACAGGTACCCATTGATGAGAAATTTTGTACAATTGCGCCATGGAGAAAAACACCTGTCAAGCAAAGGGATCTGAGGTCAGTTACAATACCATGCACCATATAAGACTAAGCTTTCAAGAGGATTATGGTTGATTTAGGATCTAGTGTGAGTTTAATGCCATTATCGATTTTCAAGAAGATTGGTATTGAGAAGATAAGCGGGAGTGGGACAAAATTGAAATTTGCTAATCACACCATCAAACAGTCATATGGGATAGCCGAAGATGTATTAGTGGAAATTTACAATTTTTTTTTCCTAGTTGATTTTCAGATCATGGACATACCGGAAGATAAAGATACTCCTATCATTCTTGTTCGACCATTTATGCTGACGAGTCGATGCAATTTTGATATCGAGACAAGTAATCTGACACTGAAATCATTTGATGAGGAGATAACCTTGAAGGTGTTGGAAATCAAGAAGCAGGTTATCAGTGGAAAGAATAAATCTTCAATCAGAATGATCATATTAGAAGGAGAATACAACATTTCAAAGTCACTCCCAGAAGAGGTCTCAAGAAAAATCTCTCAAGTGGCATCAATAAAAATTCCTAAGCTCAGTCATGAAGGAAAGATGAGAAAGAAGGAGGAACACCGAGATGAGAAGATGGAAGTTGGAATTGGCTGGAAGCACAAATGAGTTGATACTTTTGATCTTAATGAGTTCTAGATTGCAGAAGGAACGGGAAAAAAGGTGTGGAAGAGGAAGTTTCCCCCATAAGAGGATGAACCGCCAAGCCATGCAACGTTAAATGGAGTGCTTCGTGAGAGGCAACCCATGCTTTTAATAACTTAGTTTTTGTTTTATTTGCGGGTAATAAAAAACAGAGCCTTATTGGTGAGAGCTAGAAGGCAGCAACTAGTATTGCATTTCCCTCTGTGAGTCACCTTCCTCGAGCTTGTTCTGAAACATTAAGGCCAATGTTTAGTTCAAGTTTGGGGGGGGGGGGTTATTACTGTTCTTTATACTGCTTTTCTGTTTGATCTGTTTGTTGGTTTTATGCTGAGTGTTGTGTAAATCCATGAAATAGAGACAAAGGGATGGTTGTTAGAAGGTAGGAAGTTTGGAATAGCGTGACATAGATACGAGTCTAACGTGTATATTTGTACCATAATGCCTGAATCCTGAGAAGTACTCTTGAAGTAGTTTATCTTTACAGTCTTTGCATAATATATATTCGCATGCATGTATGACTGGTTGAGAAATAAACAAAGATGGCACTAAATAATGAAAAGGCGGTAAAAGGAAACTAGGTCGCTAAGTTGGGAAGCTTTCACCAGGTTATTCAGCCCAATTGGGGTTGATCCCCAAACGCCATCCACTAAGGACAATATGTAAACTTAAAAGTTTTGAAAATATCATCTGAATTTAAAAATGAGCAAAAGCTCTTATTTGGTGCCTAAGAAAAAAAGCTCTTGATCAGTCTTGTGCGTGTGATGATCATCATAATATTCATTGCCTTAATTTGACTATCTGAATGAAAAAGGAGAACAATTGGAAAGAGACTTAAGTACAAAGCATAGTTAGATAGGTATCTGAAGAGGAAACTCTAGATTGAAAGATTCTTAAACAAACTCTTCACGTCTTGTGAACATTGGAGGAACTAATTTTTGATCAATTTGAACGGATGTCTCATGTATGAGTAACAGGCTGCTATGATTTTCTTAAGTTCTTGTAATGGTCGCTTGAGGTTAAGCAACGGTTTAAGTTTGGGGGACTTTGGTCAATGGTTTTTACTCAAGAATTTAGCATTTATTTTTAGTTATTGTTGCTTCTAATTGACGGGTGTTTTATTTCATATTACAACATTTTATGCTTTGGTTTTATGTTTTAGTGATTTCAGGTTGAAAAGAATAAAACAGGACAAATCAGGGCAGAAAAGTGCAGTATTCAGAGTTCCAGAAAAAATGCTTCAGGAGCCCCGACACGGGTGGCCATGTCACCTGACACGTGCCATGTCAGGGGGAAGACTTGGCAAAATTTGAAGTTGGAAGTAAGGCAGTAGGAGTCACGGGCTCCCGTGTCACACGATACGGCCCATGTCAATTCAGCTAGAACCAAAAAGCATGAAAATGGCAGATCATAGATGCTGACACGGGTGCCCGTGTCCGGTGACACGGCCCTTTTCAGCCTTGGCGCTAGAAATTTCAATTTTGAGATTTTGTTGTATTCTTGGATCATTAAGGGTACTTTGGACATTATGCAATGCGGAGGGATAATCTAATGCTATAAAAACTTGTTTGTCAGAAGTAGAAAAGAACTTTTGGACCAAAGAGAAGAATTCTACGATGAAAATTGGAGCTTTCAAGGAATTAGAAGGACATAGATTCTTCAAGAGGAATTGCAATTGAAGATCAATAAAATCTAATTATCTTGTCATGTCTAACTTTTGTATTGTAATTTATTTGAATATTATGTGCGGCTAAACCCCCAATGCTAGGGGATTTCCCTGATTTGCAACATTAAGAATACTGATCTCTTTGTTTTATTCAACATAACAATGTTATGCATCAATTTGATTTTTCAGAAGAATTTATAGTTTTATCCTATGGGACCATATGGTTTCATGGTTTCATTGTTATCCTATGGGACCATATGGTTTCATGGTTTCATTGTTTCTAACACATTAGGACCAGACGGTTGTGTTATGGTTTTCTAAATAATACGGTCGTGTTATGGTTTTCTAAATAATGATATTATAGATTATTTCACCTAGGACTAGGGCAATCCTAGGATAACCAGAATAGTTCTTGATAATTGAATGCTTAATCTCAGAATAATTTGAATGGACATTGAAATTAGGGTAAAAGTTTAAAGGTTTTTCACTAAAGACTTAGGGAAAGATAATCTTAACAACTGGTAATTGAGTTTGATGAACTTGTTAAAAAGATCAAAGAGTGAAGGTTATTTCATGGAAAATCATTCATCCCCTAGCATATTTTAATTAAAAGTCAAAAGTCATATTTTACTTTTTGTTCTTTTACATATGTGCAAGGATTTATCCAACCAAACCAAACGATAGTTTTTGTTCAATTGAAGTAATAATCACACTCGGTATTTTCTACGCAGTCCTCGTGATCGATACTGGGGTAAAACCCATTATTATTAAATCGGTAAAAATAGTATACTTGCTATTTTTTCGATCAACATTCCTATTCATCCATTTTCTAACAGAAAATTCAAATTCAAAGGTCAAGATAATTTTACATGTAGCAAACTTTGAGAGATATAACATAATCATAAAATCTTTCATCTTTATTCTTCAATCTCCAGAAGAATCACCAAAAAAATCTCTCTTCTCCTCTCATCTTCATCCTTATTCACTCTCTTGAGAAGAATGCAAATTCATAGAAAATCTCTCTATACTGAATTAGTCTGCAACTTATCTGCATATTCAATCTTCATCTCTTCTGCATACATCAATTTTCAACTACTTTAACAACTTCAACATGTAGTAACGACTCCCGATCTACACTCTTCACGTCTCAACAAATTGGAATCAACACCATCATTCAATCTTCATCTCAAATCTGAGTTTATTTCTCATATTCTATCTCTGCAGCATCAAGAACGCATTGAATTGTCATCCTCACATTAACTCGGTTCTTCAACAACAACACAGAGGAATGAGATGTAGAAAAAGAAGAATCGAAAAAGAAAAGCGTACCTGAGATTTTTCCTCCAGATTTATTAGCGTCTTCCTCAACTTGTAAATGCACCAGACAATTCTCCGGTAGGCAGGTGTTCTGTAATTCTTCTATAATTTCTGTTTTCCAGTTGAGTTCAAGTATGAGTTGAAATCAAACTGAAACGTTTATAAGGAGAACGAAATGTAACAAGAAGAATTTATGAGAGGATTAACTGAGTAGAAACCATGGCGGCGATTTGAAATCAATGAAAGTGGAAGTCGCGACAGAGATTTGTGAATAAGATTGAACGGACAAGTAGACGATGCAACTCGCATTCGAAGAAGAAGAAGGAGGAGGAGGAATAAGGAAGAGAACCCAAGGAGGTGTTATGGACTTTGTTAATCGGAGGAGAAGGTTCCTTCATGGTGGTAGGTGAGTATCTTTTAAAGTGTTTACGACGTTGAAGGAAGAAGGAAGGTCGTTTCTTCAAGAAGTTGAATCGTCACTTGTAATAACCCTAACAGACTCATAAAAATGCATGCGTTTCACAATTTCACTTTTTTATTATTTGTTTTTGCTTGAATAATAATAATTCCAATAATAAGAAAAAGATCTGGATGATGTTGAGATTGGTTTGGGCCAATGGGTCCTCAGTCCATGAAATTCCATGTACACCCTTTATACCGGGTCCGTGTCCTGTTTTTGGGCAACGCATTTTCTTGAGAACAAAGAATGGTTGGTTGGACTTAGAAGTAGGGCCTTAGCGCTAACATTCTGCATAATACTCCAGGATTTCACCCCCTGGGCTCATCCTATTGCAATTTTTTTTTTAATTAATTTTGTTAATCATTTCAATTTGATTGAATTTTCTCCAAATGATAAAAAATGACAAAATCAATAAAATTGGTTAGATTTTTTTTATTTGATTTTAGGAATTAATTCATGATTATTCGATTACTTGAGACTTGTGATTAACTTTTTCTTTTCGAGATTTGAGTCTTATGCATGTTTATTGTGTGATATATATGCGGATATGCTCGAGATTTTGATTGGATTTATTTTCACATTTATGATGCTTCGACACTTATTCCAAGCATTTGATTTCTGACTCTTTTCTTTGATTGGTGAAGCTTTCACGAAGATCGTTGGGTTTCTTTGTTTTGATACGCTTTTCTACGAATTGATATTTGTTTTGTATTTTCTCTTGTTTATCTCATTTCGGTACTTTACTGCTCTCTAGATATCATGAAAAGTAGAAACTTTACTGCTTTCTAGATATCATGAGAAGTAGGAAATAAATAGCGTGCGATCGAAGTCGTGGTTTAAAGTCCTATAGTAGGCACCACTTTTTGTATTCTAATTATGGTTTGTTTAAAATCCTACCTTTGAAGTAGGTATTATGCACGTGTGTTTACATTTGTGCCCATATTATACAACATATGATAAGTCCTCAAAAGGAGGCAAGCAGGGAGGGCCCGAAATCGACCCCCACATATTCTAGTCCATGTCATCCTTAGCTCACATTGTATGTTGATGCTCCAGAGTCGTGCAGATCATATGTATCGAGTCGGTCATATGGAGAAGAGTTCATAACCAACCCCTACACTTTGTCAAGAGTTCACAATGATCATTGTTGATACTTCGCTACCCGCTTGTTTGCTTCGGGTGATACACTCCCCTTAGCTAAAGCATTTCTTTTCTTTTTTATTTCACATGTTCCCGCTTGTTTGCTTCGGGTGATCCGCTCCCCTTAGCAAAATCATTTCTCATGTTTCCCCCATCCCTTTGAGTCAGTGTGTGATACTCATGTTTGTGTGCTTTTTCCAAAGCACTTGTTTGCTTATTTGTTTGCTATACCATGCTTTCCAGAGGATCGCTCGAGTAGAGTAGCTTTCGAGCTAGACATTATGATAGGTATCCATGCATGCTAACATAGGATAAAGATTTCCATTTTATCCTCAACCTTAGGATCAACCATTGTATGATAACATTAGGGATAGATTTAGGTTAGTCTCCCTTAGATGTTTTTCTTTCTTTTGCATCCTTACATTAAGACTAAAACTCTTTTCTTGAAAATCATAAAACACCTAAAAACTTTCAAATCCTTCTTCATGGTAAAAAAATATCGACCAATGCAAACTTTTTTGCACCTTCGGGCTTTTCTTCCAAACTTTTTCAAAAGAACATGTTAATTCACTTATGTGTTGATGCGTGAGTCTCCAAAGGTCGAGCTGCGGTAGAAGGCGAAATTAATATTGTTCATTTAAAAAATACAAACCAAAAAAAACTTTTGAGCCGAACTACGACTGCTATGATTCCTTAAAAGGGATACGTAGGCATTGGGCTAGGATCCAAACGAGCACAACTTTATTTTCCCTACATTAGTTGCTCTTTTCTTTTGCATGCATTCCCTCTTTTCATTTTATTTTAGTTGTATAGCTTAGATTTGAAACACACCCTTTGATTAGAACAACATGAGTGGATATCATAGAGTATTATGGGTGTGTGGGTGCTAATACCTTCCCCTCGCGTAACAGGCTCCCTTACCCAATCTCTTGGTTGTTTGATCGTGATTTAACCATTCTCAGGTGTACTATGGTGGGAGAACTGACTTGGGTGTTTTGCGTTTTATCGCAATGGTTGCGGATAGCAAGAGACCCACCGACTTTTCTTTTATCCTATAAAGGAAAGGGTGGAAAGAACAGGAAAGACCTTTTGGAAATTTTCTTGAGTTCGGGGGGTAGGTTATGAAAAGGGAAGGTGTTAGCACCCTTTTCATCCTTAGTTATCTACGGGCTTCTAGTTACTAGCTCATTTTGAAATGCTTTGTTTGAAATGTGTTTGATTGTTTTTGAAAGTATTTTTGAAAAGTGTCTTCATTTAGGCGAACTTTGTAATGATTCTCGTCTCTAAAAGAATGCATACAAAGTGTTGAATTTTGAAAATATTTCATTAGAAAGTGTTGGTGTATTTGAAATATGTTTTTGAAAATGGTTGTAAACAAGAAACTACGAGCGTTCTACCTACTCAAAAAGTCTTTGGTTATTTCCTCCTCCTTTAGATATTGTTATCTTACCATTGATTGATAAGAAGTCCTATCATTGGATGTGAAGGGACATGCGTGGGTCATCGTATAGTCATAGAAAGCAATATTGTAGGATACCTTAGCAATTTATCTTAAGGGTCTAAGATCTTTTACTGAAGGCAACATTGAAGGGTCATCGAGGGACTACGATCTTGTATTCGAGGGTCATTGCTAAAGTATTCCACGTTCGAGGGACATGACTGTTTTTATTTTAGGCAACAAGTGAGGATTAACCCTAGAGGTGCAAGTGTCCAATGTGTTTGTTTTCATGCTCTTTGTCTTTGAATTAGGATTTTCTACTTGTTGATTTTATGTCTTGGCATACAAAATCTAATTACTAACATTTGTATTGAAAACGATAAATTGTGGAAATATAAAGTTCTACGCTATTACATCATTTGGGGGATGAGGATACAAGTTTATGGATGGGGGATGAAAGCAATAATATTTTAATTATAATATTATAACCATATTGAATATTGCAAGATAAAATGTGCAATAATATAAAGGGTTATATGGATGGAAAAGAAAATTGTTTTTTGTTTAAGTTTTATTATATGAAAGAGTTTTTTTAACCTAATTAAACTAAAAAGAGAGTAGTTAATTAGTCTAAGTTAAATTAAAAAAACTAAACCTAAATTAAATAAGAAAAAGAAATAAATTAATTAATAAAACAATTCTTAGGCTTTTTTATGAAAAGGTCTTAACCTATTTAAACTTAATTAAAAAAAGAATAACTAAAAATCCTAGATCCTAAATTGATTAAATTAGCAAAGAAAATAAAACCTAGTCTAAATTAACTTAATTAAAAGGGTTGTGTTAAGAAAATGTTTTTTATTCTTTCTGTTTTAAAGGAAATAGAAAAAATATACTAAATACTCTAAATAATAAATATGAAATTATTTTTGGTATTTTTGGTTAATAGAAAATAATAATAATAATAATAATAATAGTAATAATAATAATAATAATAATAATAATAATAATAATAATATAAAATAAAGAAAAATAAAATAAAATAAAAAATATTAAATTAAGTTAGGGGTTTAGAAAGTGGTTTAAGGGGTTAGCAATAGTGAAATTCTGGCAACAGATACTTAATGTCACAGTGAATGTTATGATACCGTATCTGACAAATTGTACACAAACCAAACAGTAATTTAAAAGACAGTAAAGAACACAATCAATTGTTAACCCAGTTCAGTGTATAACAACACCTACATATGGGGGCTACCAAGCCAAGGAGGAAATTCACTATAAGAGGTATTAATTTAGGAATAAACCAACCAGTTTATCTCCTTCACTTAAGACCTACCCAATGCAACTTCAATCTAAGTCCTACTTAAACCTAAGTTCCTACTCACTCCCCCTCAATCATAGCAGTGATACTAATCTACTGATTAATAAGATTATGAAGACATTCTTCAATACACACGCTTGATTTTGCTTCAAAGCTTTAATCAAGAGACACAACACTCGTGCTTCAAAGCTTTGAGTGATAAACAACCCTTACAACCAAATCCTACACCAAGTCACTTATCAAGTGATAATTGGTTGGCTCACAGTAATTACTAAAACTATCACAACTACAAAATGCCTTATTGATCTTCTCTAAAAAGCGCTGCACACCATTAGGATTCGTGAGAAATATATATGCAGTCTATTCTTCATTTTAGGCTTCCATAAAAATATCTAGGGTTAACCAAAGTTAACCTAAAGACTTGGTCTTGGGCTTTCATCATAACAGATTAGGGTTAAGCAAGGTTAACCTAATATCCACATGAGCATCTGATCTAGTCAATATACTTCAACTCAGAATAGCACACCAGATTCCTGAAAATTCTCAGGAACAATAAATCTACACAACAACTTGATCAGTACAAGATGTCTTAACATTGGTTATGACATCATGTATCCTGCTCACTGATTTTGGTAGAATTCAGTACATATGATCATAGCTTAATCATCATGATATTCACTCATACTGAGTTGTTCCTGTAGAACATTCCTTCTGCAGAATTTGTCTTTATCCCAGAATGTTATGACATCAGTCATGACATTCGCAAATATGGTTTTACCAAAAATTAATGCCAACAAGCAAACACTTATAAACTCCCCCTTTAGCAAATTTTTGGATAAAACCCCTAAACAATCAGAGATTAGAATGTAGAAGCAACATGCAGAAGAACCACAATTACTTCTCCCCCTTTTTAGCCATAAAGAGGCCAAAGGATCTAGTACTTCAAGTTATACAATCATCAAAAGGAAATCCAAAATACACAGAAACAGAGAGAAGGTATCAAATAGCAGCAGCAAGTTCCAGCATCAATCTTTACAACTCAGTAAACACAGACCTTCAGGTACTGTTATCCCCTGAGGAAGCACTATTTTCAGCAGCATCTTCTGGTGAGCTTCTTGCAGAACCATCATGCTGTTCTTCATCAG